CAAATTGTACTTTTGAGTTCATATTTAGCGCATGTAAAATAGGTTCTAAGTAAAAAATGAGTGAATTTTTATACCACTGCTCGGTATAAATTCTCCATTTTAGAAATATAGGGGCTAGATAAAAATCGCGGCAGCGCATTTTTCGAAGGTTCAGAGAAAAAGTGCACGATTTCTGGTGTTATGGGAACCCTCCGAAGGCAAGGCAAGGTAGAAAATCGACTTTGAAAAAAATTTTTGAGTCAAAAAATCACGTTTTTCGTGTTTAATGGCAAAATAAACGATGATAATGTTTATTTATCGCAAAAATAACACCGGATACTGAAAGAGCATACTCAAAAACCCCTGGGTGTGGATTTTCAAGAAAATATTTTAACTTTATCTATAATTTTTTTACAACGGAAAATTCATGCACAAAATTGCACTTTTGCGCGTTAATGGGTTAATGAAAAAATGATGTCATTCGAGTAATAATCTCGCAGTAAGTTGTCAACTGTCAATAAAAATTCTTTCACGAAGTAAAGCTGTATTAAAACTAGTATACCTCACGTTAGTTCTTCCTATTTTCGAGGAAAACTTCGAAAAGCGAGTGTCTGCAAAATTTTTATCGATAATTTAAATTTTTTCTTCGTAATACATTCTATGAATTTCAAAATGAAAACTGCTAAAATTTGGTATATCGTTATTTTATTTTTTTGCATACTTGGATTATCATTACAATTGAAGTCAACCAAAGTCAGTATTTATTGAGTACCAATTGAAATTTAACATTTGAATTCGAATTAAAAAATTGACTGTCTATTTTATATTATTCCTATAGCGTAAACCTACTCCGAAACCTGGAAAAACAACTACTACTAAAGCACCGAGTGGGCAGCCAGGGCATCCTGTGAAACCTGGCAAAACCACCACTACCAAAGCACCGAGTGGACATCCAGAGGATTCAGTGAAACCGGGCAAAACAACCACTACTAAAACACCGAGTGGACATCCAGGGCATTCAGTAAAACCAGGCAAAACAACCACTACTAAAACACCGAGTGGACATCCAGGGCATTCAGTAAAACCAGGCAAAACAACCACTACTAAAGCACCAAGTGGAAGTCAGCATTCAGTGCAACCTGAAAAACCTGTGGAACCTGTAAAAACAACAACTACTAAGGCACCAAATGGAGATAGGCATCCAGTACAACCAGACAATTCTGGACATTCAGTGCAACCAGGAACATCAGAACAACAATCTACCTGCGCAAAAAAGGAAAAATGCACAATCGATGTTAGGAGCATGAAACCCGAGCATGCCTTAATCGTCGATCCCTCGAATCACAACAAACTCATTTATCCAGACTCGTATGGAAAAATTGTAATCGATCAAGGACATCAGATTTATCTAGTATGCTCCGGGGTCGATAACAGATTTTTAGAACTCGATGGTCAGTACCACGAGTTTACCTGCGAGTGCGGAACTACGTTCAAGTCTACGGTGCCAAACGCAGAGCACGAGTATCATTTCGAAGATTTAACGTGCTTGAATATTCCCGGATCTGAATATGTATCGAAGGGTTCGAAAACAATTTCGAAGATAACCATCGATCGATTCGACGTTGGTTTCAAAACCGACGATAGCAACGGCTTCGTCATCGTTTTGGAAGCTCATCACAATTCGAAGGCCCAGTTGACCAAATACGTGAAGAGTCGCTTACACCGGTCGACCAAGTACGCGCTTCAACCCTTCGATTGGAATACCTTTTTCCAGGCCCATCCGGGACGTTTCGTGCAGGAACCTCACAAGCACCATCGAGTCTCTCTGCACAAGATGTACTACGCCGAGGAGCAGCGTAAGTCGCTCAAGGAGCAGTTCCCCCTGAAAAATAAGGAAAACGAAGAGAAGGGACTGCTGCTGGATCGAGGACACTTGGCGCCGAGGCGCGACATGATTTACGTGCCGGAGGGACTCGCTACTTACACGTACATCAACACAGTTCCGCAGTGGAATTCAATCAATCAACACAATTGGGAGATAATGGAGAGCTACGTACGAAATATGGCGACGACTTTACACAAAGACTTGACCGTAATAACTGGTTCGTACAAACGATTGCATTACCCCGATGAGAAAACCCCCAAAATACCGAAGAACGTTTACTTGTATTACGATAAACACGGACCCCAATGTCCGGTACCGTTGGCAACGTACAAGATCGTCGTCGATCCGACCACCAAAAAAGGTCTCGTTTTCGTAACTTCGAACGATCCTTACTTGCTCAGCACGGACATAACTCCTGAATATCGTATCTGCACCGAAACCTTGAAATTGGACGATTTGGCGTTCAAAACGATAATCAAACACGGCTACAGCTACGTGTGCTCGGTTAAAGCATTTTTGGACAAAACCGAATTGCGCTATCTGTTCGACGAGGACGTGCTCAGCGTTACTGGAAATTTGAATGAAAAACACATAAAAGTGACGCCGGTACAAGAAGTAGCAAAAGAACAAGTACACGATTAGATTTTTCGATTTAAATGTTGAAATTTGCCATCGTTTGTCAAAATAATGGTCAAAGTCATGACGTAAAGTTAAACAAAAAGGTATTAAGTAGTATTAATGACGTTATTGTACAGAAAAAATTGTTATGTTTATTAAAACAATATGTATTATTTAAACACTGTTATCAAGTTTTCATCATATGGAAAAAATGTATTCAAATTTGTTGAAAAAAAGCGATTATTCTTGAATAATGTACAATTTTTATAAATAAATGAAGATAAATGAACAACAATTATATCACGATCACTGCCACAAAAATTTGAATATCGCAGACAAAGCTGTATTATCCGTCGTTACAGGCGGTCTCTACCGCCGTGACAGTAGTACTCTACCCTGCCGACTGTCGGCATAGTCTGCCGCAACGGCGGATCATGCGTCTACTAGAATTCCCGCCAAAACAACGAGTCGTGCAACGCTCGCGTATAAACACAGAGAGAGAGAGCATCGAATCGTGCCTGCAAGTGAAACTTGTTTTGGGCTCGCGTTCGTTGATTTTCTGATCGTGTGCCTTATCGTTGCGATATACAAATAAAACTTGTTTATATTTAATTACTTTTTTAATCGACGTAATGGATTTCGGCGATCAAGTTGCGCGACAGTCGAGGGTGCGCGACGACGTGGGAACTCAGTGTCAAAAGTTGTTTCAAGAATTCCTCGAAGAGTGAGATTGATTGTTTTTTTAACTTAATTGCTATGCTTGATAATTATTTTATATAATACATTTTATATCTTGCAAATTGGTAGGTATAAGGATGATGGAGTTCTCAAATATCTTCAAAAAGCCAAGGATCTGGTTAGCCCTGAACGTAGCACCTTGGAAGTGTCATTTGAAGACATTGAAAAATACAATCAAGCTTTGTCAACGTCATTGATTGAAGAATACTACAGGTAGGTAACAAATCAAGCCTTTCAGATTCAATAATTATTTTATTTCTATTAAATTGATAACTAGATTATAATAATATTTATTCTTTTGCAGGGTCAATCCTTTCTTGTGTCAAGCTGTAACAAATTATGTGAAGGATCAAGCAGGATTAACAAAGCCCAAAGAATGTTACTTGAGTTTAGTTGATGTTCCCACAAGACACAAACTCCGTGAACTTACTACCTCCAAAATTGGTACTCTCATTCGTATATCGGGTCAAGTTGTACGTACCCACCCTGTTCATCCAGAGCTAGTGTCAGGAACTTTCTTGTGTCTTGATTGTAATGGAGTTATTAAAAATGTTGAGCAACAATTTAAAGTGAGTATAAAGTATAATCTATAAGTTTACATCTTTTTATAATGAACTAATATGTTTATTTATATTAAATATTAGTTTACCAATCCGACAATTTGTGTCAATCCTGTGTGCAGTAATAGAAGAAGATTTTTGTTGAACATTGATGAATCAGAATTTGTTGACTTCCAAAAAGTTAGAATTCAGGAAACACAAGAAGAATTACCCAGAGGTTGTATCCCTCGTTCACTTGAGGTTATTTTGAGAGCTGAAGCTGTTGAAACAATTCAAGCTGGAGATCGGTGAGTCATTATATCTCAATGAATGTATATATTACTTTCTCTACAGTAAAAGTTACATTTTATTCATTAAACATCTTTGTTTAGATATGATTTTACGGGAACATTAATTGTAGTACCTGATGTTGGCTCTATATCGATGCCAGGTGCCAAAGCTGAGCTAGGATCAAGACACAAACAAGGAGAACAAGGTGAAGGGGTCAGAGGACTAAAATCTCTTGGTGTCAGAGACTTGAATTACAGAATGGCTTTCCTTGCTTGCAGTGTAACGCCTACAAGTTCAAGGGTGAATATCTTTCTTCTTTATTTAAATTATACTTCAAATTCCATATCTTTATAATACAATTGTAAAATTTTTGCAGTTTGGAGGAACAGATATTGGACTGAACTGTGAAAATCAAGAAGAAATGAAGAAACAAATGTCTACTGATGAATGGAACAGAATATACGATATGAGTAAAGACAAGAATTTGTACAATAATTTAGTTGCAAGTTTGTTCCCTGCTATTCACGGAAATGATGAGGTAAAAAAAGGTGTTTTACTCATGTTGTTTGGAGGTGTACCAAAAACTACAATTGAAGGTACAACATTGAGAGGCGATATAAATATTTGCCTCGTTGGAGATCCAAGTACTGCCAAGTCGCAACTTCTCAAACAAGTTGCAGATATTACTCCAAGATCTGTTTACACATCGGGTAAAGCTTCTAGTGCAGCAGGTTTAACTGCTGCCGTAGTCAGAGATGAAGATTCATCAGATTTTGTTATTGAAGCTGGAGCACTGATGTTGGCTGACAATGGTATCTGTTGCATAGACGAGTTTGATAAAATGGATCCAAAAGATCAAGTAGCTATTCACGAAGCTATGGAACAACAAACGATATCTATTGCAAAAGTAAGCATATTTATATTTTTTATTACAATAGTTCTATTACTAAAATCAATTATTAATTTTTTTCTAGGCTGGAGTAAGAGCTACCTTAAATGCAAGAACATCCATTTTAGCAGCTGCAAATCCGATCGGTGGCCGATATGACAGATCGAAATCTTTGCAACAAAATGTTTTATTAACTGCGCCAATTATGTCGAGATTTGATCTCTTTTTTATCCTCATTGACGAGTGCAACGAGATCATTGATAACGCGATTGCCAAAAAAATCGTCGACTTACATAGCAATAATCTAGTTACAATTGACACTCTGTATACCCAGCAAGAAATTCTACGATATATTTGCTTTGCTAAGCACTTTAAACCGATCATCAGTGGGGTAAGCAATCAAAGCCCTTAATCGGAATTTCTATTTTTATAAATAAGTTTTATGTAACAAATTGAATCGCTTTTTTCAGGCCGCTGGAGAAATGTTAATAAATACATATACCAATTTGCGACAAAGAGAAGGTATGGGAGGAAAAAAAGCAACTTGGCGTGTAACCGTGAGGCAATTGGAAAGTTTGGTTCGTTTGTCGGAGGCCTTGGCTAAATTGGAGTGTCAAGATGAAGTGACCGAGAGACACGTGAGAGAAGCGCGACGATTACTGAGCAAGAGCATAGTTCGCGTCGAACAACCGGATATCGATTTGGAGGATGCAGCAGGTGAAAATCAAGAATTACACGACGACGAAGCACCTGCAGCGATGGAAAGACTCAATGCTATGGAGACTGACCATGATGACGGTAAAATTTTGTTTTTCAATTGAATAAGATAATTGTTAGAGTGGTTTATATTCATTTTGTTGAACTGCTTTTATAGCTGCTTCAGAAGCATCTCAGCGCCCAGCAACCAAAAAGCTCACGATGTCTTACGAGGAGTATAAAAATCTGTCGAATCTCATTATTCTACACATGAGAGCTCAGGAACAACAATTTGAAGAGAGCGGTAATCAATGCTTGCAATTAAGCTTATATTTTACTTTTCACGCACGAAATTACAAAAACGCCAATTTACTTTTACAGAGGACAGCGAAAAATCAGCCCTGAGAAAATCCGAGCTAGTGGCTTGGTATCTGGACGCCATTCAGGATCAGATCGAGTCGGAGGACGAACTACTGGAGAGGAAGGTGCTGATCGAGAAGATCCTCGACAGGCTGATCTACACGGATCAGGTCATCATTCCGCTGACATCGATGAGAGAGAAATTGGAGGAGGACGAGGACGATCCTATGCTGGTCGTACATCCCAATTACGTCGTGGAATAGAAAAAAAAAGAGAAAAAAATTGTAATTGTAAATTGAGAATTTGTCTTCTTTTCTTTTTTTTTTTTTTTTTTTTTTAATGAAATTTAGCGAAACTGGTTGTGTACAATGGACTTTTTTAAAACTACGTTAAGTTTTTCTCTCTCTTATTTTTTAGTAGCTGTTAAGTGCCTTTTGAGAATTAAACTGTAAGTTTTTATACATTTTCAATTTTCTAAATCTCCACTCATTAAAACCTTCGGTAATTACGAGATACCAAACAAGAAAAAAACGTGTAATCGGCGTGCAATATCGCAATTTATTATATATATAATACTCAATCAGCGGCTTGTCAGCGGTGCATATGGGAGGAGAGGTTTTGTGTCATTGAAAGTCCCGCGCGAACGCAACTTTGACAGTTAACGTTGCGTGCGTAGCACTTTTGCGCGCACAACGCGGCACGCGCCTGAATAATTAAAAACATTCCAATAAATCAGCCTCGATAAATACGAGCAGCGAGTAACGAGATCTCTCGCGCTCGCACGCACCGACACGCACGTGTGCGTATTTATATATTCGCTTTGTATTGTATTATATAATTAAAACGTAAATGAGTCGTTATATATACGCCAAGGAAGAAGGAAAAAATCTGTCCTCAAAAATAATGAACGATTCTCGCGCAAAACAATATGATCATCGCGTGCACTGCGCAGAGGAGAGTCGACGCGGGGCGATACGCGCGCGATAAGGGAAGAGTCACTATTGCGAGGCCTTTGACAATCTTCTCTCTGTTTTTTTTTTGTTTCTGTTGCTCCAGCGCTAATTAAAATACATCGTTACTCATCTTCGGATTGTTCGTCTCCACTTTCGCTCGCCACGCATTTAGTATAGTACTTATTATATCGGCTTTTGCGCCCGGCCGATACGGCGCGCCGCGCGCACCACGTTTATGTTTATTAGCGTTAATAATTGCACATATCGCGCGCCGGTTAGTTCTCTCTCTCTCTCTCTTTCTCTCTCTGTCTCTCTCTGTCGCACATGTATCGGCGTGCCCGAGTTATATAGCAGCATGCTGCAGAATCTAGAGAGAGAGAGAAAAGTAGGGGAGCATTGCGCTCTCGCGAGAGAGAAAAACGTCACGAACATATATATATGCACGCATGCAATATACACACATACATGTATCGAGGCGCGAGTACACGCGAGCGAGCGAGAGAGAGATCTAAGATATGTGTAAGAGAAGCTGCAGGAGGTACATTTAATATATAACGAGATGCCGATATAGTCGGGTGGTTGCCGGAGCCCGTGTTCTTCCGAGTGCCAACGAGTAGTTGTACATGATACAGAACGACTCCGGATCATGGTGTCGATCAACGGTGACTTACCGCAGCAGCAACAGCAGAACCAAAGGCTCAACAATAACGATGACGATCGGGAGTACGATAATCGGCAGCAACAGGAGCAGCAGGAGCTGCAACCGGAGATGCAAAGGGTGCCTTACCGACTACACAAGCAGACAGTTGCGTACTATTTTGTAATCTTTTCATCTCTCGATTGCGCTCGCGCGCGCGCGTGCCCTGTGTACAACAACAACAACAGCAGCAAACTCGAATGTGTGTGTGTGTTTTGTGAACTTTGTTTGATTTTTTCGAGCGGAAGTGCGTGCGAGTGCGCGCGTCGAAGCGAGATCGGTAACGCACGCGAGTTTGTTTTCGTTTCGTGAGATTTTCACTTTTGCTTTTGTTATTTTTATTTTCATTCTTTCAATCGAGTATAGTTGAAATCGCAATCGCCGGTCAATAACGCTCAAGCCGAGCATGATATAACATTATACATGCACGAAAAGCTCTTTCGCAAGGTCCAGAACGAGCGATAAACTCGCGGCTATTATACGAGCTTATCATTGGCGAATGAATTTGTTTTGCATCGGTCGATTGGAATATCCGAGAAACTCTACTTTTTTTTTTGTCGCGGTCGCATCAACAAATAACCATATTAACGAATGTCAGTGTTTAAAGCAACCGTTCCCACGGACAAAATCGGTTGCATGCCACAAATACAAATTTCACGCTAATGAAATATCGAAAATTACCCCACGTCTGTATCAGTCGAATAAGTTTATAACGATGCACCGTATACGCGTACAGGTAAATGGCAACTTCGCGACGCTGGGCAGCGACTGTCCGCTGCTGCGCGACTACCTCGCCACGAAAGATGGGCCCGGCTGGACCGCGATGAAAGTCATCGTGGCGTTCGTGCGAGGCTTCTCACAGGTACGTACACGGCTCTCGCCTGCAATAATCCACGGTACAAACATGAACGAACTCGTGGCAAGCGCGCGCACACGGCGATGAAAAACCACGTGGTTCTCCATTCCCTCTCGGTTGTTATTTTTCCATCGTCGCGATTTTCGCCAACAAACAATCCAACGACCAAAACAACAAGCTTACGTTGTACCGACTGCTATAGTGATGCAACGAGGCGCTGCCGCAGCCGTCGAGCTGATTAACAATTCCAATGCACGCGCCACACCGAGCGAGCCTGCTACACAGTTATTTATTTTGCCATTGAAAATGCTAATGTCCTTTATATTTCATCGATTTTTATCGACAGCTCCGACGCGGCGGGTTGGGAAGTTTTTCGACTCGGGGAACGCGCTCCGTTGATTATATCGAGAGAGACAAAAGCGCGATATTAAAGAAAAAAAAAAAAAAACGTGTGATATCTGCAGCTCGCAGCTGCATTGAGTAACTCGCTCGTTCGAGCCTTACGTAAAAATTTGCTCGTGCGTGTACGTACGGTGCTAATCGTTTATGGCGTTGGTAATGTGTCGCGCCCGTGCGCGTAGTTTGTGTGTCGGCAGCGCGACAAGGTAGATCTGGCGTTAAATCGTCGTCGCGAGTCTCTATATGCGCATGGGACGAATTATACGTAAACCACCGCGCTGACGTATATAAATCAGCGTTACGGATTAATTAATTATTTTTTTTTTTATATTTTTGGTTCGTTGCGCTTTATAAGCATGTAATGAGGCGAATTTGGGCCGAGATTATTGCGCATAAAATGAAAAAAAATTGAATCGCCGATTTTATCGGAGCGCCGGTATAAAAACGATTACAGGATCGTTATATCACGGAAACGCACTGAATAATTATTAGCAGCTCGAGCTATTATTCCTCGCAGCGCAAATCTCTCGGCATATATTGACAATAAATCGTGTAAATTATACACACGCGCGCGCGATTCTTTCGGGATTATCGCAGCGTTATACACAGAGAGATGATCATATGCAGCGCTAATTGCAATCGTCATAAAAGCTCGCGCGGGTTCTGTTTGCCGATCGCGATCACGAAAGAATCGGCAGCAAGGCAGAAAAAGAAGAAAAATCGTTAACGATTAATAGTCGCGCGCGATGCTTATCGTGTACCCGCGCGCGCTCGTCATTTTCCCAACTCATCATCCGCAACCGCGGCGTGTATCTAGTCGGAGTCGTTACTATACGATATCGCCGTTTTATGGTCTCCTCCGCACGAGCTCGATGATATACAATGTGTATTTTTCGCGACGGAACAGCTCTTCGCGTCGATCGGCAACCAATGAAATAAAACTGCACGCGTGTGCGCGTGTGCATTATGTAAAGGCGAAGCGCGCGTCATAATTGCGGCACACTACACCGTGCCGCCGCTGCTATTTTTCACTTTCTAACGAGCCGGGGGGGACATTGAGAACCACCACGAGCCGTGCGTAGCTCGTGTGATTAGAAATCAGGCCTCTCTCTCTCTCTCGGTCCGCATGGCCGGCGTTACGTATTGCACCTGCTCCGCTGGTGTGTCGCGTGTGCAGTTTGCCCCAATGCCACTCGACGCATATACACACATACCTCGTAGCCTAGTTTACATTTGGTTCTCTCTTATATATATATGCATCGGAATCTCATTTTCGTCCATGTGTTTTCATTTCTTCAAGTGCGTATTCGCCAACAATCCCATAAGCGGAGTGATTCTAATGGGATCGGTGATATCGGTGGCACCGGCCACCTTCGCAGTCTGCTCGGCGGCTGGTTTCCTCGGACACCTGATATCCATAGTAAGTACCTTTTTCAGCGATGATACACGCTCTACTTGTTTCGCGCGCGCGGCGCGTGTACATAAGTAAGTTGCTCGAGGCATCTTTATTATCTATGCGCGCGATCGGTGATACACTCGTTTTTCAATACCGAGTTTTGATACGTACGTAACGCGCGCGCGCGCGATCGTTTCTTGCAATTTTTCCGCGACGTACGCCGCGAGTGCGCGGAAAGAGGAAGTTGATACAGAGCAACTCGGCAATCAGAAGAAAAAGAAAAGAAAATGGGGGTGAACAAACGAATTATTATAGAGGAGCCTATTAAAGGTCAACGCTCGTTAGACTCTCTCTTGGGTTTTATTGGATCGAATTTCGTTCCTCGGATACGTATGTTATGTTATGTAGTACTACAACGAGATGCTCGCGCGCTTCCGTTTTCTTTTCCGCGCGAGAGTATCGTGTGTCGACGAGAATTACGAGTAGAGCGCGACAACTACGATGATGACTCTGAGCTGCTCGAGCATTCGATTAATTCAATTCCGCCTACGCCGCCGTCTTAGCGTTACTTATGAATGAAAAGAAAAATAAAGGAAAATATGCACCGTACTAACGATTGATTCATCGATCGTGTACAGTTGTTGAGAGAGCCGAAAGTCAATCTGGACAACGGCCTGGCCGTGTTCAATCCGCTGATCTTCGGCTCGGTCTCGTACACCTTCGTTCCTCTAGTCTACTCGCCGGGATTCGACGGCTTCAGCATAAGTCTGGCTCTGCTCTGCGTCGTCTTTATGTAAGTTCATCTTGCAGCAATTTTACAATTACATAACGACGTATATACTGTTTTTTTACACGCTGATTCTGCTGCAGCGCGTATTTTTGGCGAGGCTGCGGTCACGGCAGCTACCCCTGCCTCACGATGCCCTTCAATCTGGCCGAGCTGCTGCTTCTCTTCGTACTCAAGAACGCCCAGGACCGCATTAATCTGGCTTCAGCCGCTGCAGCATTGGTGGTAAGTGTGTGTGTGTGTGTGTGTGTGTGGCGTAAAAAAATCCCCATATGGAAACGCGTGCCGCGCGTGATAATTGAAATTTTACGCGAGATCACGTTTTACATTTATACTTATACGAGAGGGATTAGTGTAACTCGGCTCGACACTACCGCTTTGTAGCAACTCTTTACGCGTCGCATTGAATTTCTGCAGCCGTGTAATAACTGCCGCACGGTTCCGGAATTACCCCGGACGACGCCTTATTTTCTCTCTCTCTCTGTCTTTTCTTTTCTTTCACCTTTTTTTCTTCTCTCTTTTTTTTTTAATTTTTTTTCGTGCAACTCTTTTGTTTCCTCTCCGTTGGGTCTAAATGAAATCGCAGACCCGTATTATGACGCTCGTTTTTTTTTTGTTCACCTCGTGTCTTTACCGTAGCGCAGCATAATTTTTAAATTAAAGATCCCGAGTAACACTGCAGCGTTGACGAGAATCCTAATGTCAAAGGGGAATAGAAAATTGGCAAGTATTAAAAATAAAAAAATGCAAGGCAAGTTGAATTAGACCTTCTAAGCTTGCGCTTGTAACTAGGGTAAAATTAAAGGTTTTTATCCCTGAATAACAAAGTTTTAGTAGTTTTAAAATTAATTCAGGGGAAAGTTGAAACTTTCTCGTTACGCTTATCGCTTAAAACTTTTTGAAACGCTTACGTCGGTTTAAAAAAATTCTACGTCGCGACGACAATGACATATTTGCTATATACGCTCCGAATAACTTTTTAAACGAATGGAAGAATGCACGAATCGCCGCAAGCTCAAAAAGTCTAATTCAACCGTCGACATTCTCCACAGCAAACCTTAGGACAAACAAATACGCATCATTTTTTTTTTTTACCCAACCGGTCTATATAAACACGATAAGGATGCGTGCTATACCAGGGCTACGTATATCTGACACAGGTGTATATACACTGGACGTCTCTCATTTTTTTCTCTCTCTCTCTCTCTCCGTCATTCGTCGACTTGGTTGGTCGCGCGCGACGGTGCAGTGCAGTGCACAGGCCGCCGCCGCTGATGTAGGTCAGCCTCCGAGCGCTCTCCAGGGGGAGTTGGTCGGCGCGGCTCTCTCCGCTTGTGCTCGGGTAAAGCCAAAAGGAAATTATAGCCAAGCGTACGTAGCAGCAGCATAGAGCACACGCTCTTGAGATGCGCGCGTGTAACGACGCTTTTCTCTTTCTTCTCTCTTTTTTTTTTCTCAATTAATCTCCGCGCGCTAGTCGCGAGAGCTCGACCTCCCAACGCTATGTGTGCATGAAAATCTCGCGCGGCTGAAAAAATCCGTGGAAAATTTGCGGGGACGCGCGATTGTCGAACGAGAGCTATTATTGTCGCATAGCCGAGCGAGGAACGATATGTCTGTTATCTCTCTCTCTCCACTGTGTGGCGCTTACTACACAAGAGCGACTGGTCATCTTAATGATTTTTTTCTTCTTCCTCTTCTTCTTCTTGCCTGCTCTATCGTGTCAATATACATTCTCTCTCTCTTCTCTCTCACGACACAAGACTGCAAAATAATGTGCTGCATAATATGTGCGAGGCTGGGGCAAAATAAAGAAAGAGCTTGCGCAAGCTTTTACATGCATGACGACGACGACGACGACCTCGATGACCGCGGTGTGCGGTGGTGTGCTTTTTCTTTTCTCTCTTCTTCTCTTTCTTTTTCGCCGCTGCTGCCACCAGTGCGCGAGGCTCGCTCTTGTTTACGTACACTGTACAGAGTTAAGCTCCATCTTAATAATAGGAGATAAAGCAGAGTAAAGCTCGCAGCTCTCTTACGCCTATACGCGCGATGGCTAACAACTTTTCAAGTGTAAGCCTGAAAGAGAGAGAGAGAGAGAGAGAGAAAGAGATTGTGCTGCAGCTCGTGTATTAGATCGACGCTCATTTTTGTCTTTCCACCAGCGGGAGCGCCCTTTATTTCCTCGCTACTATACCCTTTGTTCTTTATAGTTCGTCGAGCGCTGTATACGAGCAGCACTCGAGATCTCGATGTTTTATTGTTTTCCGCGATTCGCTCGGACGCGTGATTTTTCGACTCGACTCTATGTATATAGCATACGGTATATCTTGTGTCGAACTCTCTCTCTCTCCTAATGATCGCTACAGCAGTCAGGAAAAGGAATGATCGATTCGACCCAGTGCGGTATAATATACCAGCAGTTCCAGCGCGTGACCCGTTTCTCGTTTCTTTGAATATGTGTATTCGTGTGTGTGTGTGTTTGCGGCAGGCAGAGCTCGCAAGCTTGCTAATCTGCCCGTTACATACGTGCTATATACCGAATTCGACGCTTTCTACCCGGGAGACGTATTTCTCGCTTTCTTTGAAATTTCACCCGGAGCAGTGTCGCCGAGACTCCCTCCTCCGAGAGCAGCTTACGCGAGAAAACAAAGTGATCACCCCATCCCCCGTCCCTTTACCTTCCATGCACCTTTGAGCTTTACAACGCAACGTGTGTGTGGCTCTCGAGCAGAGACTCTCTGCTGCTGCTGCTGCTGCTGCTTGCCGCAGAGCTTAACCGCAGCCACGAACACACAACAGCTTGTACTTATATACTCTCTCTCTCTCGGTCTATGTATGCGAGTGGCCGGTCGAGGACTTGTCCGGATAAGCTCGTCAAGGCGCGAGCTCGAAGCCCTTTGCGGCCCTCGGAGATGCGGCGGCCGAGTGGACAATGGCGCGAGGCTTTTGTGCATATATATATATATCTAGGGATAGCAGCTGTCGGTTCGGAGAGAGCCACTCGACGATTCATGCAACGCATCATCGTCGTCGCGGGAGAGCCGAGGACAATTTTAATTTCGATGAATATAAATTGCGCAAATGTCGATCGTTGTCCGTTATACGTGTCGTTTTTGATAAGCACGCGCGAGAGAGCCGATGATAAGCATTGACAGAAACTTTTCCTCCCTTTGTCTCTTTCTTCGAGCTTTATGCGACTGTACTATACAAACAACTATTATTATACACGTGCAATGTTGCGCGATGGAAATAATGCGCTCGCCTCGTATTGTATATCTACGTATTTATATACGTTTATATATATCTGCGTACCCACTACCGCTATTCCTCTCTTTGTATTTGGCGAAGGAGCTGTGTGTATGTGTGTAGTGCAGCGAGCGAGCGGCTTTGTTTTTTGGCCTCGCCGAGCTACGCTTTTCTCTCACTCCGCGGCTATATTCTTTCAGCATCGGGGGAGGAAATATGAACGCTATGACATTTGAATGGCAAAAGGTATACGCATCGCTGCACCGCGCACACTACAGGACACTAGGCGAGCTTGCGTAGGGAAAGAGAAAGACAGAGAAATAGACACATAAAAAAGCTTCGCGCGCGCAAGCGAGCAGTCGAGATTTACGCGCGCGCGCTTTTTTTTATGCACAGAGAGAGAGAGAGGGAGAGGGAGATAAAATGTACACCATTTTTCCGTTTTGTTTTCGAGTTAAAAGGCCGAGCGCGAGCGAGCTTTTTCCATGAGAGTGATAAAAATTGCAGAGATGCGTTTTATGTATGTATATGAAAATATAAAAAAAGGAGAAGAATCGTATTTTACGAAATTAACTTTCGGAAAAATTAGAACAATAAAAAGAGAAACGAGTTATGTGGGAGAGAAATTGCGAGAAAATCAGAGAGAATTGTTTCTTTCGCGTGAAAATTGTGGTTACGACGGGGAAACAGAATTGCGATTTCAAAACCATAAATTTAAAAATCTATCTATTATTGTGCACGTAAGATAGCTCAAAGAATATAATCGTATCGACCTTTATCTCAAGGAGGACCCCTCTATTTATTCCTCGAGATTTTTTTTCTAATCGTGCTTAATAATTATAAGTGACTAACGCGCTTAATTATTTTAACGAAGAAAAATTTCAATACGATCTTGGGAAAGAGATATTTAGCATTATTATACAACGTGTATTATACGGCAGTTTATCCAATGTAGATCGCATTCCGCAAACCTTTTCATCCTGTGAACCCGCACGAACTTGAAATTTTTTCACTCGACGAACAAAGTACAAAATGTTTTGAAAAAAAGGGTCGGAAAATCCGTGCGTAAAGGGTAGAAAATGTCATCAATGTGTCGAGCACCGTTATAACTATTCACTGCAGGCACGAGCAGCGCGGCTTTCATCCGATGTAATTACCAGCAGAAGCGGCGGCGGCAGTGTTGCGTTTCACACGCTCGTTTTCCAATCAAACAACAACGTGGCGTAGTGGGCATGAATTCGCGCTTTTCTACTGCAGCAGCGAAGCTTCTCTCTCTCTCTCTCTCTCGTCTCTCTCTCTCTGCGGATTTCTCTTTTGTTATGAATTCCAGGCATGCTTTTTTTCCCAAACGAAATCAGCGTTATTTTCGCATTTACCCCGATAAATCAATCGCGAGAGTCGACGCGCCGGGACGTTATTGGCCTTGGCGATGAACAAAGATTGGCATTAGCGGTATTATCCGAAAGCTCGCAATACGATACACGCTGCCTTTTTTTCTATACAAAGAACGATGCAGCCAACGGGACGACGGAGCAACTGGCCATTGTCGAGAACGTGACGACACTCGTCATGAACGCCGCGACGAGTCCTGACTGGGGCATGGTAAATATAACAAGTATATAAAACAATTGAAACTCGTCGGTATCGTCTATACAACTTTATTCTTCTTCTGTCGAAGGTGTTCCGGGGCTCGATTGTCTCGGCCTCGCAGCTGTTCGTGGTGGACAACGTCGCGCTCGGCGCCATCATCTATCTCAGCGTGCTCATCTACTCGCCGTTCACCTGCCTCTTCGGCTATCTCGGCGCACTCGGTGGCAGTCTAGTCGGTGAGTTAACGTACATCATTGTCCTTGGTAGAGGCCCATTCAAAAAAAAAACATTACCATCGATTGGCCTTATTTTTGTCACAATTGCAAGCAAATTTTAAACGACAGATTAAAATGTTTCGAAAAATTTAGACGAGCTTTCAACCGCTTTGAGTACAATAACTCGTGAGCTCATCACTAAATGGCGAGTACCTACGTATCTGTAAATCTGCAAGTGGAAAAGTCAAAATAATTGTCTAAGTCAAGTCATGGCTTGAAATTGCTTACACAGATTGATGAATGAAAGTTTTTACAATATTTTTGATGAGTGGTTCTATTCTGGATTTGTTAATGTACGTCTCCACCACTAGATGGCAGATTCTGGCATTATCTGTAAATCTGTAAGTGGAAAAGTCAAAATAATTTCATAAGTCATGTTTGGGATGTAAGCGAACAAACAAGAATGATACAATTATTTTGAAAACAGGCCACGTAAAGTTGTCCGCGAGAGAAGCACGAAATATCCAAGATATAAATGCCGACTTTAATCTCTCTTGTAGCTCGGGAACTTTCCGCTTTGCAACGCGCTGGAAAATAGAGTTTTCGTTCGTAAGAAAAACTTTATCTTTCGATTGAAAAACATTCCTATGTTTTCAATTTTTTCCCTGCGAAAGCGTAAAATTTCGGAATATTAAATCTCGCCGTCGGAAAGCCGAGGCAGTTTTCCATCGAAAACCTACATAGATTAGATAATGTAACTTCACGCCTTCGCCACTAGATGGGGAATAGCGACGAATCTGTAAATCTACGAGTGGCAAAGTGAAAATAAGCGTATAAGTAGAAGAACGACTTTCAAATATTTAGGAATAATTTCCTGAGGAATAATTACCGATGACTCCCCAGGAATCCAGATGGGCGCGCCCCTGGACACGGTCTATCGCGGCCTGTGGGGCTTCAATTCCTACCTCACGGCGGCCAGTCTCGGCGGCAGCTTTCTCGTCGTCAACGGTCAAGTGGCCTGCGCCACCGTAGTCTCCGTCCTCTGCACCGGCGTCATCCAGCACGTGATGCAGATTATCTTCGCTCCGGTGCGTATACACATGTACTTATATATATATAATACACAATCGAGAATCTCCAATATAATATCGATCTGTTTACGTCGTCGTCGTCGTCGTTGCGCGGCTACGTTTAATAACACATACGTACACGTATACGTTCGCAGGTCGGACTTCCCGTGGGAACGATACCCTTCGTGCTGACCACTTGGCTCTTCATCGGCCTCGGCAGATCGCCCGAGGGCACTTTTCCCTATCCCGTGACGATGTCGTCGCCCGAAGGCCAGAGAATCGAGTATCTCGCCAAGCGCAGACGTGAGAAGCTCGAGAAGGTATGTATATATAAAAACGAGAGATATCAATTTTATTTTTGTTCGAAACGAGTATGATATTTCTCGATTTGCTTTCTTTTTTCTCCGCAGCTGAGCCAGATGGACGATCCTCCGGAAATTCTCGTGCTCAATGGCAAAGCCACCCTGATGTGATGACGATGACGATGATGTTTTAAAAAACAATGCCATGAACAATACTACCTATAGGAGGATTATTATTTTTTTCAACTAGGAAACACAGCAACAAAACCTTGTGCTCATGATTTTAATCAATAGATAAATAATTATAAGTACAAAATACAATACCGATACTCATGGGTCGATATTTATATATGCGACGCGCCAAAAAAACATTCCAAAAACGAAAGAACGAACGAGTATCCGCAAGACTGATTTTTTCCGGAAACTATTAATCATTATAATGATACGATACATAATTGTAAGCATTCGCGTGACACGATCCTGGTAGAAATTCTCAACGTTATATAGCAATGGCCTGTAATGACCAAAAAATTAAAATCTAATGGTTTTCAACCACATTGAATACGAGAATACCGCTTTGAGATACCACCGCTAGATGACTAGCGCCGTAGACTGCAAATCTGCAAGTGGTAAAATGAAAATAATTGTATAAGTCAAAGCCCAGTTTTAGATATTTTGAAATTTTTCATTGCATTAGTGTCCAAGCGTTATGTATACGAAAATTACCCGAGTCGTTCCAAGTTAAGTTATTTTTCTTAATTAATCGAGTTAAGTTTAAAAAAATAAATGTTGTACGAGCTTTAAATATCACTTCGTCTTTTCTTTCTAAAATTCCAATTAATCAAACACGGGGCTATACTTCGGTAGTTATTGTGGTGGAGCGTTGAAACGCTCGTGTCCATATAAAATAACATATACGATAGTCGGTATAATATATCAAGTCGCGCGGCGGCGAGAAGGCCCTCAAGGCTTCTTCTTGCGACTGTATAATGTATCGCGCGCACCGCCTCGCGGCTATTTCGATGCTCGAGCAGTTGGCCGTGTTGCGGGCTATATAACCTGTGGCGCATTAAATATACAATCTACTGCAGCATCGTAATACATGCGATACATATATCCACTCCGATGCAGGTGTATTTGACGCGAAAAAGCTCGGCTGTTTCGCTGCACTGCAGTTGTTTTCGGGCTTCGGAGCTCTTAAATTATTAATCGCGAGCTTTTTTGTCCTGTACGACGCATTATATGCAAGTCGACGTAATTTGTTTCGCTGTATGAAATAGATCGGGCGTGTGGGTATGGGAGGTCAGATTCCAGACTCGTTCCTGTGCGCGTACCTAAGCGACGCGTAATTACTACGTCTCGGTTTTGTAATTAGTTCTGGACCGTATGGCGCAGCGGCAGCACGAGGCAGTACTCGCTAATGTATAGCGCTGTAATTTTAATTATATATTCGCCCCGCCTTTGAGCGCGCGAGCTCTCGGGGGGTCACGCTCCGTTGAGTAGAAAACGAGGATTTCACGAAGACGTATGTAATACTACATAAGTTTCTCCGAGAGTTGTAGAGATTTTCGAAAAATAAATGCAAGCATTAGGACGTTAATGATGATGAGAACGAGACTGTAATATTTACATTGATAGCAGAAATGAATACGTGCGAACTGTATTACGGTTATTTCAAGTTTAATAAACCAACTCCGATATAAATCGCGATAAACGAGGGGGTTGAAAAAAAAACACGCGAGAGAGAAGTTGCGAACGAGAATCCGCGACGAGCATCGGTGCTAATGAAAACGTTAAAAGCCTCGTTACGCGCATCGAGGCGCACACGACTACGTCGTATATACCGAAAAAAAGTGTGCGTGTACTGTGTGTGTACACGGTGCGGAACGAACGAGCAGAAAATGACAAAAAAAAAAGCAAACAATCGTTCGCGTCTCTCTATACTCGATTGTTTTCCAATGAGAAGCAGAAGCACCCGTTACCTCGTTGTAAACCGCGCGCAGCTGCACACTACGGGCTTGGATATACACGAAATGAAAAAAAAAGTCAATGCACGACACGAGAACAGAGATAACTGAAAGAGAGAGAGAGAGAGAGAGAGAGAGAAACGAAATTATTACATGCCCATTTATTACGAGTAATCGATGTCGATCGTATTATTTTTTTGGTTCAACGGGTCAAATCAGCAGCTGCAGTGGAGCACGGACTCTGAGCTTTTTTAAAAAATGAAGACGAGCTTTTCAAACATGCAAGAGAGAGAGAGAGAGAGAGAGAGAGAAAAGCTCTACAGCGCATAAGCTATGGATTTCTTAATGTATCGCGTCGATATATAGATTCTGACGCTGCTTGTAGTATAAAAAGGAAAAGAGAGGCACACGCGTATACGCGAGTTACGTATACATGCACTGCACTGCGGCACCCGATCAGCCTTTGTTGCACACGGAAGATCGAGAGAAAAATCATTCGGGAGCTTGCGCGCGCCCGAGCTTGATTCGCGTCATACCTATACACACGTACACGTACGTACGTATATAAAATAGGTCGACATACGCACGGCTCGTTATGTATACGGTCTAGCGAGCGCCAGTTTATCTATTATAACGACGAGGGGGAGAGTCGGAGAGGTATAGGAAACGGCGCCCAGATATTGTTATTGTTATAATATACACAAGCGCCGGGCTATATAGAGTTCAGAGGTGTACAGCGTTGTACGTATTATATTTTAGTCTAACTAGCAGCAGCAACAACAACTAGCTAGCTATAGGAGGAGATTCTCTACTTTACTCTTCTCTCTTATCTGCCGGAGGCGCGGGCGCAATCTAATTAGCCTCGACGTTTTAATCTATAATGCAGTTACTTTGTGTTGTCTATTGTTAATCTCTCTACGCGTGGAAGCAGAAGCTTGCGTTGCGCAGCAGCAGCGGTACTGCACGGAACGTATATACGATACAAAAGACGTGTTCCGATGGAGGAGAGAGATAGAGAGAAAGGACTCGGAGGATAATCTGGAAAATCTGGGGGGGGGGAAGTCGCATTTGATCCTTTCTTGCCTCGTTTTTGTTAATCGACGATTACCGCTTTATCTATGCGCTCTCTCGTATTACGTATAATTGGGGCATCAACGGGTACTCTCCGGCGTTACGGTGGTGCGGATATCGATATTCGTAGTTTTATGAAAACTGATACAGACAACGTGGATGTATGTAAGAGACAAGGGAAAGAGAGAGAGAGACGATGCACTCTATATACAGCCTGGCAATTCGAGTGCGTCTCTGGGCCAGCTAATGGAAAACTTTTTCAACGGATCGCGTGCGCGCCGAGAGGAGCTGAGGCCGTTATATGCATGTATGTCACGAGCTTGCGAGATAAAAGTATATTATTCGCACGGCGTTACGTAGCCGCCGATGTTTATATACTGCAGCGATGCTTGCGAACAATCGTATACCTCTATAGATATATATATAATAAATTCGATTTGCCATACATAAATTCGGGTCACCGAAAAAAGGGTTGTGCAGCAGCGCAGTTCAACTCATCGTATAACTCGATATACATTTTGAGCGTACTTTTTCTTCCCTTCTCCCGTTCTCTCCTTCTTCCCTATTATTCTTCGTTTTTTGTTCGCTTACGTTTCGATGAATATTTAAAGTTGCACGAAGCGACTTCCACGGCAGCAGCGGCAGAAGTCGAGCCGACAGCGCGCAGCTAGGAGCTTTTGAGTTAACGTTCGGAAAATTCATCATAACTCGAAGTTATACATAACAGCACAGGCAGTACTAGCAGCAGAAGTTTCGCGTTTTTGTCTGCTGCACAGTGACGTATATAATATACTATATATGCCACTGCTGCCTGCCTGCCTGCCTACTGCTGGCAAACTATACCCGTGCTCGCTGAAAAGCGCCTAGGGTGGTTAGCAATACCCCGAATCTCTCCGTATACCCAGTGAGAGCTGCTGCTGCTGCTGCTGCTGCTGCTGTATGCAGTGGAAATAGTAAAAGTAGTAGTAATAGCAGGCAGTACCAGTAGCAGCATCGGCCCGCCTGCCTGCCTGCAGAGAAAGAGCGAGAGAAGAGTGGGAGGGGGGGGGGCTACGCAAGCACACGAGCTTGCAGCAGCATCGAGCTTTAAGGTAGATACGCAGGCTCGTGGCAGCAGCGGCTGTATAACGCGCGTGCGATATATAAATGTGTCGGTACCAGCAGCTATACGTGTCTGTGTGCGCGCGCGGAGCAACCCCCAGGAGCTCGACTCTCTCTCTCTCTCTCTCTCTGCTTGGCTTTGGCTCGGCAGCGGCGGCACTGGCACGGCCAGCATCAGTACAGTTCGGAAAGTCTCGCGCGTAATAACGAGCCGGTTCTCGCTGTCTGTCTCTGCCTGTGCGGCGCGTTATCGCTCGAAAAAAGAGACTGACGCGCGCGCAATACAAATGTATGTAATACCCTATGTACCTGTACGAGATTAGGGTGCACGTGTGCCGCGGATAAAGAGCTTGACCTGCGATATCGTCTGAATTTCGCTCCTTCGGCACAAAGACGACGCGTGTGTGCAAGTGTAATTACCAAGATCGTAAAGTGACTATTCGATCAGGTGCCAGGTGTATATCATTCGATGACGCCGGGTCAGCGTCAAAGCTTCATACATTTTATACCTCTCCTTCCGCATCGGTGTTCGCGGGAGATTATCTCCTTTTTTATTTATCGCTATCACAAGTCGTAAGTGCGCGTGTTCTTACTTCTTGCATATACGTCCCGGCGTAATGCCGCAGTCGCAACGCTACTAGTTACACTTCTCAGCTGTCAGTGTAATATTACGAGGGTAAGTACGTATAAAGTCCCAACTCTCTCCCCCGCGCGCGCGCCAGGCGATTATTCATTCCGTTTGTGGCACAAGGAGCTTTTTTCCCCCTCCCACTTGGAGTATATAAGCTTTATAGGGGGATCTTACTGCTGCTGTGACAGGTGCGCAGCTTTTAAGACTTGTTGAATATTCATTTTTCTCTCTCCTCGACTTTTTCATCGGCGGGGCAAGTATAATTGATGGTCGAGACTTGACGATTATTGCGAGAGACGACGATGACGACGACAACGAGGGTAATATAATGCGAAATGTCGTATATATATAGTCGTTGAATCGTCGTCGTCGGCCGCGCGCGCCACCAAACTTAATGGATCGGTCCGCACGACTATATATCGAGAGATAAACACGGAAATTGTATATTGTTGCAAGAGCTCCAATTTGTATAACCAGAGACGAGCTCGAAATGGCTCTGGCGTATACTCTTAAGCGACGACGCGTGAGGTCTCTCCGTCTTTACGGTGTTATATATACGCACACGAGCTTGCATCATTAAAGCTCTATCTATCTCGTACATTTACCCGCACCCGACGTCGTCGTCGTCGTCGTCATCGTCGTCGTGCCATGTACATTATATTTTTAAACTCGCACCGTCTCATTGGGTTTGTAGTACGTTCAAAATCGATGATTGTATTATAGGTCTGACACGAATCGACCCCACACACAGACACACACATGCTCCGTTTTTTCCGTATATTATAATTATATAGAGTACGATAAATAAATAAGCGAGACAGAAGAAAAAATATATAACGCCCCCCGAACTTTTTTACGCTGTCTCGTGTATAGCGTATAACAGTAGAAGCAGCAGCAGCAGCAGTGGTGTGCGGGAGAGAGAGTCTCTCTAGACACATATATTTATGGCTGCTGTTTTATCAATTATGAAATGATGCTGATGCTGCTTCTGCTTCAGCTGCTGCTACTGCTGCTGCCGCTGCTGTTGCATTAAAAAGTCTGGGTAATGTATGAAAGAGTCGAACACTGCATTTTTGCCTCGCGCTAAAAGCTCCGCGTGCTCTATCGGGCGTGAAAATAATTACACTTATGTGTATCTGCGTGTTCGTGTGTATGCAGCTTCGGGGGAAATCTCGTTTAACGAGAAAATTAAAAAAAAAATGGAGCGAAAGAGCGCGACAGGAAAGGACACACAAAAACAAGACGAGCGCGCGCGACGATTTATGAAAAATGAACGAGCGCGAAAATGAGGTACCTCTGCATATTTAAGGAAAGGAAAAAAAAACATATGCCTTCATATATAACGAATGCTGCAGCTGTATAATAACAAAACAGCGTGGCGCGCTGGGCGCTGTATAAAAGGAGAGAGAGGGAGGAAAGAGAGGCGGACAAGGCGAAAATTCAATCTACATACTAGAGTAACTTAAATACATTAGCTGCTGCTGCAGAAGCAGCAGCAGTTTGTGTTTGTGTACGTGCGGATGCTGCGGACACGGCGTGCGATATATAGATACGGTATTCTCTGCTTTGGTGCAACGAGTTTTCTCATCTGGGAGAATAGCCAACAGAGAGAAGATCGAAATCAATTTGTAATTCATTCGTGACGCGCAAAGTCCATCCTCCTTTTCCGACTGTCTTTTTTTTCCACCCCTCTCTCGCTCTCTATTTTTCTCCTGTTTCTTTTTCGCTCCGCTCATAGAACATCGAGAGACGGATGGATAGATGGAGATGTCATTTACTCGGGCATCGCGAGAGTAAAAAACGAGACTCGTCATGATTATCGACACGGCTTCGCGCGGGGTAAAAAGAGTCTCGGTTCGTGTATATATATCCACTGCGGCAGTCAGTCGGTGTGTGTATATATACTTGGCTGAACGAGACAAGTGACATCGTCATCGTCGTCGTGGCGCGGCGCGGCGCATACTCGACTGAGCTTTTTGTTTTCGTCAGCCGTCGGATAAACACACTTGACACAATCCAGTGCCTCGGTGCGGTGCAGTGGCAGTGGAAGCAAAGGCAGCAGTGGCCTTATATATACGTGACTGTGTGTGTATATAACTCATAAAGCTCGTTGCCTTTGAATAATGCATCCGCAGAGCTTTCCTTTGCAGGCCGCGGCGGCGGCGACTTATTTTAAACTTACTAATCTCGAGTCGATAAATTTTCACAAAGACGGCGATGGGCGCACAATCGAAGGAGATAGCTGGAAGGGAAGGAAGCTTAAAATTTCGCCTGCTGCGGGTCTGAATTATCGAGTATGTTATCCTCCTTGGCCTCGCGTCCTTAGCTATAAATATCCGACGCACGATAGCCGCTCAAAATTGTATATATGATATTTGCTATTTTTCGCGAGTGACCTTTTCATTTTATTTTTTTGTTTTTTCCGATGCTGCGATCGCGGTGCAAAGTTTATCCAGAATTATTTTCCTGACATTTTCCAATTTCTGTTAGAAAAAAGCTGTCATTTTAATGCAGATTTAATGTCAAGTCGGGCATTAAAATTAACGTAAACGGTAATGCATTTTATCGAAAATACTTTGTTTGAAAATTCTTGTGAAGTGTTCAACTCGGTAATCAAACTTAATCATTCGCATTGAAAATTAATTTTTCCAAATCAATTTCTTGAGAATTGATTTATATTTTATGTATTCGTGCATATAAAGTATATGAAAAAATTAATGCCAATAAGCTCCGCCACTAGATGGCGAGTACATTCGTCTGCGAATCTGCAAGTGGCTAAATCCAAATAATTGTATAAGTATAAGTAGGGTCACAGCTGTTGTAATCGTAAGTCATTTCGTTTATTTTTGGTATCCACACAAAAAGTATGCGAAAGCGTTATCACGCTTAAATTTGCAAGTGGCTAAAGCAAAATAACTGCATAAAAGTATACTCATAATTAATAAAATATTATTCAATCTCGATTTCTCTGGTACTTTTTTTATCCTTCTTCGTCATCATCATCAGATGATTCCTCATTCAATTTCCGTTTCTTATTAAAAATATCAGCAATTATTTCTTGCTCACTTAATATTAATACTCCAAATGTTGATACATTATCATCAATAGAAACATATTCTTCCCAATCCCAATTTTCTTCAATTATCTGAATGAACGGTTCAAATGTAATTGTAAGACCAGCCTTTCCGAAACAATTACGTATCGTTTCAGACTGGACTTTATTCCAGGGCTCGTATTTATTCTTTTAAAATTGGATCGAGCGATGTCATCCAAGCCTCGGTCGATTCATAGTTCACACTACCACTTTCTCCGTAAAATTGATTGAACTCAACATCATTTCGAATTGTCGAAGTAAATTTATATCGTATCTAGACTCTAAATTCAAAATTTCATTTCGAATTATCAAAATTTCGAATTATGATATTGTTCGAATTATCGAGGTAAATTAACATTGAATTTATATCGAAAACGCTAAAGGTTCAAACTATCGAGAATTTTGAATTATCGAAGTTTTACTGTATTTGTTTTGTATCCGCACAATAAGTATGTGAAAACGCAATCACACTTAAATTCCGCTTCCACCGCTAGACGGCTAATATCCTAAACATGTAAATCTGCAAGTGGCAATATGGCATAATTGTATAAGTATACGCACATAATTGTATGAGTATTCATTCTTCTGCTTTCTGTTGTATTATAAGCTGATTATAGCAGTCAATTTTATTATAGTTATAAAAGCGTCCTGCGAATAAGCAATAACGATGTTGTTATTAAATTTCAAATTTGAATCAATCGGCGTTTTACATCACAAAGAAATTTAGTTTCTGAAAAGAAAAACTGTAAATTTAATCAAAAAATAATATCAATTTCAAAGCTTCTACATGAAATTCAATTTTTTTACGAGAAGAAAAAAATCTTTCTATTAATTATAACGTCACCGTAATACAAAATGATTTTGCCTGTGATTTCAGGTTCAGCCGCGATTGCCGAAGATGTACGACGACCGAGCGAATGTGTCGTCGCCACCTCTCCTCGCTACTGCGCAGTGGTGATTAATAATACAAAAAAAAAAGAAGAAAGAAAAAGCCAAAGATGAGCTAGTGTCTCGAGTGGTGTGTCTGCGTGCGCGCGTGTGTGTGTGCTGTTCAGCAGTGCAGTGCCTCTCGCAATAAGTGCAGTGCAGTGTGCAGTGTGCAGTGCATTATTATATTATTATACCTCCGCAGTTGATGAGCACGACGCAGTTGAGTATTAAGCCACCGCAATGTCGCGCGTATCATGACGGTAATGCCGTCGAGCTCCGATGTCGCGGACAAGGCGGTCTCGACGGAGGATGCGATCGCCAGTGGCGGCGGCGGCGGCGGCGGCGGGGGTCCGGTGGAGATGGCACGCCTCGAGGCCGTCCTCGCCGCCCTCGTCGAGAGCAAGGTCGAGGCCATGAAGCACGACTCGGCCCTCGAGGCCGCGGCGCTGAAGGCGAAGCGCAGACGGGCCGGCAGCGTGCCGGTCAGCCCGACCACCGGTCGCAATCGATCGAGGCTCACCTCGTCCTCGACGCTGTCCTCGGATCAGCAGCAGCATCATCATCATCACCACCATCATCATCACGGAAAACATCATCACCATCATCGTCAGCATCATCCGCACGGTGACAAAAGGGGCAGGAGACACAGACATCGTAGACACGACTCGGCGCCCTGCGGCGACTACATCGAGGACCCGCACAAACATCGACACGGTTCGTTGAAAGCAATATGATTGAATTATACTCGCGCGCTAATTTATTCATCGTACGAATATCCAGCCATTATGCTGATTTTCGACGCGGGAAAATTTTAGGTCGGATTTTCCGATATTTCGAATAATCGCACTGCTGCGTGCGCTCGACACTTTATATATATGGCCGATTCTCTGTGAAATCGAATGGCCAAAAAAATTTTTTTTCTGCAAATATGAAAAACTTGCTGTTCCCGATGTCAGAAATGTCCCCAAATTTTATTAGAATTTTTGGGACCATCTATCACTCTTTTTCAGGGGCCCGAAGTTGGCCATTTTAGGGTTTTTTTGAAATTCATGAAAAATCACAAATATTAAAATAATTCCTGGATTAAAGTAGAATGATTCAAAAGTAAAAGTGCCCAGCAACTTTTTTGTTGGAAATTGTCCAAATTTTCAGAAAAAAAATATGCCAAAGTGATTGGAACAATCTAGGTAAGTGTAAAGCAAAAAAACTGCCAAAGGGACATAAATGATGAAATCTAATCGAGTTCGAACCGGACTTTCATTTCCTAAACTATGTAAAAAGCTTCCCAAAGATGTCAACTACTGCCTGATAAAGTTTTGTAATGGGTCTTAAAGTTTAACGCAATGTAGACAACAATGTGTGGCGAAAAACATGCAAAAAAGGTCAAAAATAGGCCCAAAATGCCTAAAATCACCAAAAACAGCCATTTTCAGCCCTTTTTTGCATGTTTTTCGCCACACATTGTTGTCTACATTGCGTTAAACTTTAAGACCCATTACAAAACTTTATCAGGCATTAGTTGACATCTTTGGGAAGCTTTTTACATAGTTTAGGAAATGAAAGTCCGGTTCGAACTCGAGTAGATTTCTTGTTTTATGTTTTTTTTTTAGTTTTTTTGCTTTACATTTACCTAGATTGTTCCAATCACTTTGGCATATTTTTTTTCTGAAAATTTGGACAATTTCCAACAAAAAAGTTGCTGGGCACTTTTACTTTTGAATCATTCTACTTTAATCCAGGAATTATTTTAATATTTGTGATTTTTCATGAATTTCAAAAAAACCCTAAAATGGCCAACTTCGGGCCCCTGAAAAAGAGTGATAGATGGTCCCAAAAATTCTAATAAAATTTGGGGACATTTCTGACATCGGGAACAGCAAGTTTTTCATATTTGCAGAAAAAAAATTTTTTTGGCCATTCGATTTCACAGAGAATCGGCCATATATATATCGATCACACCACACGCGTACGCGAGATTCGAATTATAAACGCGAGCTAGACGTGCGTATAAATTGCTGAAAATAATATTTAAGCCTATCTAGCCGAAAGCTCGACAGCTGACATATTTCACGATATTTAAAATTGTAAAAAAATAAAATACAATGGCTCAACGTTTAGAAGACAATCTGTCGGCGAATTGCGCAGTTAAGTGCATAAGTACCAGCTACATTGTGTGCGCGCGCGCGCGCGTGTATATAAAAAAGCTCCTCCTCATCCTCGAAAAGGGAAGCTACGCGATCCTTTTTATGCTCGCGCGTGGCTTATATTCAGCAGCTCTCTCCTTTTTATACTCGACTACGTTATCGACGTTAAAGCTCTCTCTTTCGCGCGCGCAAAAAAAAGTTCTAAACTGCTACTACGCGTTAGCGGCCGAGTACCTACTGTAATGCAGTAGTAGAGTTAACCGTTCGAGGTTGAATATGTATTGAAAAAAAGGACGTAGTTAGTGAGATAAAAATCTGAAATTAAATTGAGATTTTTTTTCTCTCTTCTCACCACGCGTGCGTACTCGAGTTCTCTCTCTCTATACGTGTATAAAGTATTCCATCACCGAGCACGGTGCATATTATGCGTGTAGCAAAAAAAGAAAAGAATCCAAATTAATTTTCAACCGAAACGCTATAGTAGTATATACGTCGAGCTTGCGACTTCATTCTTTTATAGCAGCAGTAGTAGGTACGCGCGTACGGCCTCTCTGAGTCGCGCGCGAGCAGAAAATTAATTAAAAAACTTTAACATCGCCTCGTATAAAGTTATACACACAGCGACGTCTGCGCGTATATAACTTCTTTTGATACATTCTTCTTTTCACCGCGTACTCAAACAGGAGGCAGAGAAAAGTCACGGAGCGTCGACAGTCCTGGCAGACATCATAATCGTCGACGACACTCGAGGCCTCCGCATCCGTATCCGCATCCGCATCATCGTCCTCCCAATCCAGCTGCTACGCTACCGCCAGCAGCGGCCCACGAGGGACGCGAGACGATCGTCTCGGAGACGCGCGGCGGGGGTGGCGGCGATCCGCGTTTCGAGCTTTTGGGCATCAACGACGCCGACCTCGCCGCGATCAAGCTCGAGCACCTGCAGCAGTCGCGGCAAGCCCTCAGCGACACGCACGAGTACGCGACCGCCGCCAGAATCCACCAAAGTGCCTGCTATATTTCACATAGCGCTGCTCAATTGTAAGTATACCGAGTTCCACCGAAAATATGTCATGCCCTTTATTTGTTTTCTTTTTTTTTTTAATTGCTGTACGCCTTTGAAACATTGCTTACACATGTTTATTCATAACATGTGGTGCAATTTTCGAAAAACTACTTTCTAAATGTATGACATTTAAGTAATATTTTTATGAAAAATCAATTATCGAGAAGTTATTTTTAATAAAGAATTCAATGAAAGAAATCAATGAATGAAAGATTTTCAATGAAAGTTGTATTAATTTTAAATAAATGTTAACTTAATTAGTTTCAATATACTAAACTATTAAAATTCATATAAAATTCATATGATTTTACATTAAAATTGTATTAATTTTAAATAAAATTCAACTTCAATTTTAATACACTAATTTATTAATATTCATATGAGAAAATGTATGAAAAATGATTGAAATTTCAAAAATTTTCAACAGTGATATTCTAGCCTTGGTCCCTTCAAGAAAATGCGGTATAAAGCTTACAATATAGTCGGAAATACAATGTAATTCAAAAACTTTTTAATAAAACGGTATTCTAATCGTTTTTTCTAAATTATTTTTTTTGTCACTTGATAGTACACACCTTATATTTTGGAACTCGAAATAAGACTCGTACCTTATTTTTGGGGTACGGCATATTTTCGGTAAAACGCGGTAAAAGAGAACGATTAGCTGCTTCATAATAATCGTTTTCGGTAATTTTTCTTTTCTCAAGCTCGACCTCCTTTTTCTCAAACTTTTCTTGTATTGTTTTTTGTCGTTGTCGTAAAAAACAGAAAAAGCCATTACGACGAGGACGACTACTTGACGCTGCAGTACGCCGACGAGATCGACGACGACGACGAGGACGACTCGCTGAGTCTGGACGTCGACTTGGAGGCCGCTCGCGCTTCGGTCGTCGATACGGAGGGCCGAGCCGGAGCGGCTAATAACGGCGAGCGGCGGCCGCCCACGGGTCGCAGGCCGCCGCGCCGGAAACGCAAGCGACGGAAACGCCGGAGGACCATCGTCGACGTCGAGGGCATCGAGCTGGAAATGGAGGATCCGGACGATTTGCCGCCCAGAGCCAGATGGACCATCGTCGCGACGGCCTGTCTGCTGCTCGTCATGTCGCTGCTGCTCGTAGGCGTGACGTTGAGGATGGCGCCCATTATCGACGAGATGGGTGAGTCTATATTAACGAAAAAATCGATGATGAAATTGTGGATTTTAGATTTTTTTAATAAGAGAGAATTTGACAATAACTGGTGTATAGGTATATCGAATCGATGAAGGTATATTTCAAAGTAAAGAGATTCGAATCGAATGTAAGAAAAAATTTGTATCACGATAGCAAGCGATTATAGAAGTAGAGAAGTCGCCTTCAATATACTTGTAAAAAAGAGAAAACTTCGTTCAGCCCCCACGTATCGAGGAGAAGAATGATATAAGCTTTATTTGAAAAAAAAACTTGTTCTCTCCCTCTCTTTGGTACGCTCAGCGCGTATATATACGGAAAAGTTACTTCCTTCACGTATAGTACTTTGCAGGATGCATACGAGATATATATCGGCAGCTTTAATGTTTTTCCTTACAGCGGATGGGATAGTTCACGATAATTTGGAGGAATAAAAAATGGATGCTTCGTCGATATATTTCTTCTCGAAAATGACTCTGGTCTAGTTTCAAAATTAAGCGCCTCGCATCCATATCGAAAAACAAAGTCGTTCTACTTCGTTCGGGCTTTTTACGCATTAAGAGCGATTTAATTTATTTTTAACATCGAGTCGGACGCCGTTAATAGAAATTATTGCTTTTACATTGCAAAATGAATGTATGAACAGCATCCGTCGTGTACCATTTACTCTCATTTACTGCGCGCGACATCTCGATCGCTCGCTCCGCAGAGTACATTTTCCATTTACCCTCATTACGCTCGACATTTCGAATTCTTAATGTAATCCTCATCAAATCGTCATGTACTTAATTGAAAAACGCTCAGATCCAGCGCACGATGATAAATATTTGATAATAATTTCAAAGCTCGCAAGTGAAATTCGTCTTGATGTTTTGACATTATATACGTATAAGCCTGTGTATAGAAGCCTGCATTGCACTCGGGTGTTTCTTTAGCCGTGCTCGCGATCTCGCAGTTCGTTATGTACCTCGAGTTATGAGCGCGAGCGAGCGAGAAAACGAGCTGAAATTTACACGCGTTTACAAAACTTATTTCGGCATGTACTATACTACTACTGTCGAAATTTTCTCGCTCTGTGTGCTCGGCTGGCGTTAAGCCAGTTTTCTTCTTTCCTCTTTCTTCTTTCTGCTTCTTCTTCTTTGCCGTATAGCAGCATACGCTCTGCAGCTGAAACGTGCAAAATTAAATGCCTCGGTCGAATGTATTTTTCTCCCCTCAATTATTGTCGCTAGTATATCTGTATACTTCGTCACGTGTGCGTGCAAAGGCCTGCGAAATTGAAACGCCGAGCGCAACACGTTGTCGTTGTTTCGCGATACGAAGCCTTGCACGTGTACACGTGTTATAACGTAATAAGCTCGGCAGCGCCGTTTTAAGTAGTAGTGACCGATTTTAGTATGGCATCCGAATCTCCTTTCGCTATAATATACGTATAATTATTATTAATGAGAGGGTCGATTAAAAGCCATATCCTCAAACGACGAATTATGATTACGCGTTAATCGTCGAATTACTTTAAAAGTTAGATAGAAATGTATATAAGTGGGAATATAATAAACGACCTGCAGCAGCAGACGTTTTCACCTACTTTCGTCACGACGTCTACCGACGCGAACTTGATTGCTATCATAAATATAAGACTAAGGAGAAGAAGGCATGGAAGAAGAGGAAGAAGAAAGATATCAGCTTATTAGCGTACGCAGTTGTAGAGAAGGAATTTGCTGTTGCATCCACGATTCGTCGTCGCGGAATTATGTATACAGCAGAGGGGGCCAATTAAGCCACTGTGTGTATGAGTCTGGGTCGGCAGCTTGCGAACAAAAACGAAATTGAACCCAAAAAACAAAGAGGAAAAAAAGAAAATAACGATGAAAAAGAATTCGGCCTACTCGAGCGCTGTATAGGGGGGTCGAGCTTGCGCGCGCGTACAATTTAGACCGCGCCGTGTGCATATGCACGCGGCGTCGACGAGCCACGAGTGCACAGCTGCGGCAGCTCTCCTCTCGTCCATCTCTCTCTCCCTCGTCCGTTTCGCGAGATATATACGTTTCCTGCGTATACTGTGATAATGTCTACCTACCCGCACATTCTCTCCCGCACAGATAGATGTGTGTGTTTGTGTGTGCTTGCAGTGAAATGTAAAGCGACGACCGCTGCCACTGTTTATCTTCGTTTCTTATTTATCATTCGAGTTGTGCGACCGTTAAGTAGCGCGTCGATAGTATACACAGCACTCTCTGCCAAGCACAGCTGCGTGAGAGAAATGCTGCTCTCTCTCTCTCTCTCTCTGCGAAGAAGAAATAAGAAGAAAAATGAAAAGAATGTCGCCTGCTCGAGCTTGCGCGCAAGCTTATACACACACACAGTCGGTCCATAGCTACTGTACTATATAATATGTGTGTGTGTGTGTATTATCTAGGAAAGCAGTGGCAGTGGCAGCAGCAGCAGCGACGACGACGTATAGTACGAGAATATAGTGTGGGAGTCGAGAGGCTGCTGCTCTGCGCGCGAAAAGTGTGCGAGGCAAGTGTGAGAGACCGAGAGGCAAAAGAGAGAGAAGAGAGAGAGACTGTAAGGCTTAGGAGGAAAACGTGCGCGGCTATATAGATGTAAAGGCGCGCACACACAACGTGCCAGGGATTTATGTGTGTATACTACTCTCTCGTACACTACTTGCGGTTCATCTGTCTCTTTCTCTCGCTCTACTCGCTGCAAGCTCTCTCTCACTCTGATGTGGATCGCTGCGCGCCGTGCTGCGGGATATATAGGCGAGAGAGCCGCCAGCGCCAGCGAGAGAGCTCTAGCTCCGTGTGTATATGTTATGTACCGCGAGGTCGAGGGCGAGAGCTGCTCTGCTTTACCGCTGCTGCTGCTGCTGCTGCACCCCAAATTAAAGGCGCGCGTCTCTCTCTCTCTTTTACTCTCGCTCACTCACTCGCTGGCTGCTGCTGCTGCACGACTTTCGAAAGTCAGTCAGTCAGTCAGCCGGTGGATTTCCGTCGCGGTGCATCAACACGATTATTCGACGAGTGAGACGCGTTTTTGAAAAAAAAAATCATATAGAGTATACGATAGTAAATAGAAAAGAAAAATCGCTGTGTTCTGTTGTGTGTTGGTGCGCGGACTCTACTGTGTGTACGGTGATTTTTTCTTTTTTTTTTTTTTTGGTGATTCTTTCCTGTGCACGAGCTTGCGGGCGTTTAATTTACTTTTAAAGCTCGCTCGTGCCCGAGCTTTTTTGTGTGACGTCGGCCCGCGAGCTTTTGAGGCTCGGCCTTTGCGCCCGCAAGAAGAAACCCGAAGAAAGGAGTCGAGTTGTTTTTGTGTATATATAACACGGCCCTGTGATTTTCAATTGCTCGCGCACAGCACACAGCTGGTTTCATCCATTCTCTTTCTCTCTCTTGGTTTTTTTTATCGCTCCCACTGCACAGCAGTACACCCGCAAAGACTCATTATTCAAGATTTATACTAAATTTTTCTTGTAAAAGCTCCGCGTAATTTTCGCCAGCATTCATCGGCGTTAAACGAGGCAATAAAACGAGAGGACTTTTCGCTTCTCCAGGATGCTGCTACTTGCGCGCGTTTGCTCGTTGGAGCTCCAGCTGCAAAGTACTGTAATCCTCCAGACCAAGCCGGCCAGCTTTGGCGCGCGCGCGCGAGCGAGCGAAAGTGTAAAACCAGCAGCAGCTCTCCTATTCCCCCTGTATAATAGAGCGCTGTCGCGCGCGAGCTTAAAAAGACTCGGCCCGATCTATATAGCCAACCTCCTTGTATTTGCAAATTAAACGAGCTTTCCGCGCGCTGAGAGATGCTGCTGCGCGCGGAAAAAAAAATAAGAAGAAGAAGAAGAAGAAGAGAGGAAAAAAAAATAATAAAGAGAAGTAGCAGCAGCAGCTGCTTACGAAGCTGCTGCTACTCTCCTCGCACTCCTCCTCCTACTCCTCATTATGCAACGGGACGAGGGCGCACGTATTATCTCGACCAAAATATCATTCGCGAAACAAAAATATACGACCCGGCTGGTGCAAAACCGCAACGTTCGTACACGTACGTGCAGTGTGTGTGTGTGTGTGTTTGTGTACATACGTACGTGCGGCTTGTATAGTCTGACACGAGTACGAACGTGTGGCCCACGATGCCGTATATCGTTGGTTCGCCTATCGATCTATCCGGAGATAGAGCAACGAAAATATTTTGACAGGCGCCGCGCGTACACGTTGTTACGTATTACATATATATATCGTCCGCGTGAGCGAGGATCAAAAGCATTCCACGAGCGATCGCAGAGTATAATAATAATAAAAGAAAAAGAAAAAATCTATTATACGGATAAGCCGAGCGCGAGGAAGAAGCTCGCGAGCGAGTGAGCGAGCGATATGATTTATTTATTTACGTTTTTTGTTATATATGTACGATCTGCACGCTCTGTTGCGCGTTCGGCGGCCGCGAACTAGAGCTATTGCATCTGTCTCTCGGTGGCAGCTCGGGGGGATTATTTATCATAAAAGTTGAGCGTTGCTTTCTCCGTAACGAAAACTTTGCTGCCGTGGCCCACGCGCGCACACAATCTCACCGCTCGCGATGAAGCGTGAAATATACAGATATGCGCGGTGGATAAAATTGAAATTTCGTAGTACGCTGCGGGGTCGAGCTTTTTTTGCTGTACTGCCTGCAAGCTCGCGAGCTCGAGCGCGCACAGATGGCACGGGAGATCGAGTTTTTCCTTTCTCCGCGCGACTACTTCATATGGATCGCTCACACAAATACGACCGCGTATACGTACACACATACATGTAAATAATGTAACGCACGGTCATGCGAAACGAGCGAAAGCTCTCTAGCTTCGATGCGAATCTCTCGAGACGAGAGACGCGCGAGCGTATATCTCTGTATGTGTGTAGAAGAGTATATATATGCACGTGCCGAGCGAGCTGCTATTGCTGCTGTGGCTCGTAAATTACCGCCGTCTCAACGAGCGAGATCGA